CAATTATGCTAAGTGAAGAAGAATCTGAAAATATCATGATTGGGTAGGGCAATGTGCCATAAGCAGGAATTGATTTTAAGAGTGCTACAGTGGAAATTTAACAAAGTTATACTGCTTCTTTGGGATTTTCTACTAGGATAAGAACTTCAAGCAACCGTGATAAATGTGCCACAACATGTTCGTAAGTTTCACAACCTACAATTCAAACAGTCTGTAATCATATTTTCCCCTTGCTTTATGATTTTTCAATATGAATGTTGTGTTCTTTTCTATTGGTAGCTCTATTATTTTTGCTGGTTTTTCCATATTTGTTTAAATCTATTTATATTGAATGTTTGAGCATTTCCCATTATAGTTTGAATTTTAGTTTGACCAAGGCACTTAAGATTAAAAAAGGCAAAGTCGGTATGATTATGAATTTATTCACATATTATGTGTTGAAACAGTGTGGGCATATATACTACGTAGTACTTATTTCACAGTTATAAACGTGATTACGGGACAAAGCATGCAAGGATCATCTACTCCCAAGATGGATGGTAGTGATTAGGATCTATATCTCGGCTACTTTTGCATATTAATACTTCGGTTAGTCTTGTTTCTACTAGATCTGCTCATAACTTAGACTTGTTATTATCATTTCCTGAAATGACCAAGGTCTTAGCCGTAGCTCTTAGGAGATGCTTTTGAACTTTTCCGAGGGCTGTTTTAGGCAACTCCGTTACAAACTGGACCTTCTTCGGAACCATGTATCCGGGCAGATTTTCCCGACAGTGCGCGATGATGTTAGCTTCTATCCAATTTTCGGTGGATTTCAGGACTACGAAGGCGCAAGGGCTCTCGCCCCACCTGGGGTGCGGCATTGCGACGACGGAGACCTCGGAAACGCCGGCGTGATTCAAGATCACGCTTTCCACTTCGACGCTGCTTATGTTTTCTCCACCAGAGATGATGATGTCTTTCGAGCGGTCCTTGATTTCGAGGTAGCCGTCGGGGTGGATGACGCCGACGTCGCCGGTGACGAACCATCCATTTCTGAAGGCGTCGGCGTTGGCCGCGTCGTTCTTGAAGTAGCCCTTCATGATGCTGCTGCCACGGAGGACGATCTCCCCCATGGTCCGGCCGTCACGGGAAACTCGCCGCATTGTCTTGAGGTCCCAGACCACATCGGCGTCGGCGAGTGCCAGTATGCTGATCCCCTGTCTAGCCTTCAAGCGGGCTTGCTCCTCCGCTGGCAACTGTTTCCATTTCCCCTGCCATTCGCAAACCATCGCCGCTCCGGTGGCCTCGGTGAGGCCATAAGCATGGGCGACGTGAAACCCCAGCCCCTCGATTTTCTTGAGGAGAGGTGGCGGCGGTGGCGCCCCTCCAGCGAGGATCTCGACCGGAGCAGGCAATTCCCGGCGCTCGTGCGGCTTGGCTTCCAAAAGAATCGAGAAAACGATCGGCGCACAACACATGTGCGTAACTCCGTGTGACACAATGTTGTCGTATATGTCTCTTGCGGTGGTGTTGCGCATGCAGACGTTGGTTCCGCCACGGGCGGCGACACCCCAGGTGAAGGTCCAGCCGTTGCAGTGGAACATCGGGAGTGACCATAGATAAACGGGCTGAATCCCCATTTCCCATCCCAAAATCAAGCTCAACGTGCTCAGAAAGGCTCCCCGGTGACTATACACAACTCCCTTCGGCTGAGATGTCGTCCCCGACGTGTAGCTCAAGGTGATCGCGTCCCACTCGTCGTCGATGGCCACATCACTCTCATTCTCCTCCGTGCCATCCTGATAAATCCGTGCTCGGAGTATCAACTCCTCGTACTCGAGGTCACCTAGCCGGATTCCGGTGGGGGCGGCGACGTCGTCGATGTCAACCACTAAGGGCACCGGTATATTTTCGCCCATCATTATCTCCAATGCCTTTTTCGCCTTCTCCACATACTCATAGTCCACAAAGAAGGCCTTGGCCTCGGAATGCTTTAGAATGGTGGCAATGTTCTTCGCGTCGAGCCTCGTGTTGACGGTGTTCAACACTGCCCCCGCCATTGGCACCGCAAAATGCATCTCGTACATTGCCGGAACATTTGGGGCCAGCACCGAAACCTGTGCATATCAGATCAAAGACGAGATTAGTTTAGTTTTTCGATCAATGACATTATATATTAAGGTAGATTCTATGGTACTCATAAGGTACCATACCTTTGTCCACATGGATCAATGAGAATGTATCAGTTGATCTATTTAAATCTAAATTAAAAATGTTAAAGTGGTGTGGTCCAATCAAATGAATAATAGGTACGGTACCCCATATTTTAGAAAGGTAAGTAATTTAGAACGAAAATAATTTCATTATAGCATACTATGTATTTGCCTATACATAATACGAAGTACTACGTATTTATAAAATTAAAATTTGGTACTTACGACGTTGTTCTTGACAATGTTGAGAGCCCGTAGGGAGGCGGCGAGGCGGCGACATCGGTCATAGGTCTGGCTCCACGTGAAGTGGAAGCCAGCATAGATGACGGAGTTGTGGTCGGCATAACACTTTGATGCCCTTCTCAAGAAATTGATGGGAGTAAGGGAAACATAATTTGCTTCACATTTGGCCAATTTATCCATTTTGCTTGCAGCTGGTTATTTTGGAAACTTAGAAGTTACTATAATACTGTAAAATATGCGGAGTATATCTTTTAGTGTTGGATCGGAGGTACTGTGCGATTAATCTCTAGATTTGTTCCAAAGATGAATGGATTTGATAATTAGTTGAAAAGCAACTGAAAGAGGAGCTGTTTATTTATAGGTGCATATGAATAAGCTTCTTGTTTTTTGCATCAGGTGGAAATGTGTGGGAACTGGGAACCTGTCGTGAATGTGTGGTATGCTGTATTCAAATTTTCCATGTTTTAATTTAACAAGCTAGATAGACTTTCCTTCCCAAGTTTCAATTGAATCGAGTTTTGATTTGGTTTTGTCTGATCTAATATGTTTAAGGTGACAACTCTGGTACCTTTTAAAAAAATGGGGTACTGTACCTACCATTCATTTGATTGGACCACACCATTTTATCATTTTTAATTTAGATTGAAATAATTTAACTGCTACATTCTCATTGGTACATGTGAACAAAGGTATGGTACCTTATGGGTACCATATAATCCACCTATGTTTAATTATGGTCTAATTTAATTTGGTCTAGTCAAGTTTGATATGGTAACAACGATTTTATGTGTATAGTACAACTATGGAAGTCTGATTTGATCTCGTCTCATCTTATCTAGTTTGAACTCATTTGATCTTGTCAATTACTTAAATTTGTTCTAATCTTGGACATAAATTAATCCAATTTTAAAAAAAATGATTTTCTAATTGATTGATACGCTATACAAGAGTGTTAATAATTCAATAGACATTCATGAAATTCAATGGGTAATTTCTATACCTAATTTTGAAAGGGTAGATGTCCAAATGATTATTAAAATGTTTTTACTCGAATTGTTTTTAGTCTTAGACTAGATTAGATCAAACCATATTTGAGTAGACCGATCAAAACTTCCATAGCTATAAAATATATAGGGGTAGTGAACATGTCGGTTTCTGTTCGGTTTGGAACGGATTGGAAGAATCATTATAAAAAAATCATAGTAGCTACTTGGATGCATAGTAGCTATATATAGTACTACGTAATATTTTTTCGCATGAGTTATATTTCAGTAATATTTAAGAAAAAATTCCTCTTCTAATTAAAACAGCGCATAAAAACTATAGTGCCAAACATACAACTAAGAGTTTATTTAGATTTTTAAATACTCCACATAATAATTCAATCAATCATCATTTACTCCAGTGCCGCAAATGTCCCCACCTATGATGGGGTAAGGGGATAAATAACATAATAATTCAATCAATGCTATTAAAGTTTTGCCCAAAAATGTTACTAGTATAAGAGAAGAAATACTTCCAATATCTTCGTTTTTAAAAATTCTTTTAAAACGTTTTGTTATAAATGTTGTTGTCACCATTCAATTAATGTCTGCTTCAACTTAATTCAAATCTATGATTTTTTTTAGTACAAAAGATTGTTCATTTATTTGATCTAGTTATGATCAACTCATCAACCTCATCATTTGGCAGATGATTATCAATAATAATGTTTATATATAGCTGGATTTATCTCGCTTCAATATAGCAATCAATAATACATTATCCTACATTTCGTATATTTTAAATTAAAACATTTCGTTTTTTTATACCTTTATTTTGCTATGACTCAATAAGTTCTGTATTTTTATGTTACTAATGTTCTTGTAAATATTTTGTTTATATTTATTGCCTTTATTCTAATTCTTTTGATTAATTTATTTATAGATTACAACTATTAATGAGAATTGAGATTAATTAATTCTTGATTGTTTCTAATTATGGAGCAATTAAATGTTTTATTCGGACAATAAATTTCTACTTCTTTTATTTCTAAACTAAATGGATATAAAATTGAATCACCACCACATTGTCTTTGCATATAACAGTATTGTTAATCTTTTTAGCACATATTTGCCTTATTTATAAAACCATTTAGACTTAACACAGCCTCATTAATTTATACCAAACAATTTTGTAGCTGGAGTGGGCATGCGTATCTGATTTCAAAAAGAAATAAAAATAACATCATATTTTGAAGTACGGCCACCATGAAGTGAGCAAACCCATGCCATGAACTAACTTATATGGCAATGGATAGTTGAATGGTACACTTTCCAGCCAAGAAGAAGATGATTTGTGGACGGTATTTTCTTAGGCACACGAGTACTGTTTAGATATTATTATGTTTCATCATAATAATGAATGAATATTTCCTAATTTATATGTGTGGCTACGTATTATTTGGAGTTCGGAATGGGTTCAATCAGATTTTTTTTGGATGATATTTATATGTAAACATGTTGACAAGGCTTTAAATACGTATCCAATGATCTTTCTAACCATGTTCAAAATGAACATGAAAAAGCATCAAAGCACAACTACCTCCCTCATATATATGACGTGTTTTAAAGAAAAAAAATCAACATAGACTCTCGATCGATCACAACCAAGGCCGGACATCATTTGTGTTATTGTGTGATGTTAAAATTTAATTTAAATAAATTTAGTTTGCGGGTATGAATGATCATTGTTGGCTATAATAATTGTATAAATAGCCGCTCATAGTTTTTTTAGGATGAATCCGTACTCGACTAGGCAGGGCTCCGTGATTTTTAGTAGGTAATTATTCGCCACCGGTCCGACTAAAGGGGTGCACGCTTGTACTGAGTTATTGATATAGTGTACACGTGACGGCCCACGTCACCTTTTTTCACCCACTTCTTTTTATTTATCTTTTTCTTACCTACTTACTTACTTTCTTACTTACTTACTTACTTAATTACTTACTTACTTACTTACTTACTTACTTACTTACTTACTTACTTACTTACTTACTTACTTACCTACCTACCTACCTACCTACCTACCTACCTACCTACCTACCTACCTACCTACCTACCTCTTTCTTTCTTTCTTTCTTTCTTTCTTTCTTTCTTTCTTTCTTTCTTTCTTTCTTTCTTTCTTTCTTTCTTTCTTTCTTTCTTTCTTTCTTTCTTTCTTTCTTTCTTTCTTTCTTTCTTTCTTTCTTTCTTTCTTTCCCTCTTTTCGGTCCGCTTGTTTTTGCTTATCTTTTTTTTTCTCTTTAATTTCTTTATTTCCTCATTCCCGCATTCTTTTTATTTGGAGACCAGTGATAAGTCCGTATTTCGACAATAAGTCTGTATTTCGACACGCATTTGATGCGTGATGAGATCCTAGCATAAAGGTGTCATAAGTCTCATTTTTAGCTCAAATCATATTTTATCGGACATTGGTTCGTGTTTGATATTTTTGGAGTCAAAATCAGGGAATTAAGTCCGACACCGGCATTTTAGAAGTAATCGAGAGAGTTGAGACGCATTTGAGAGTTGATTAGGAGCATTGAAGGTCAATGAGGTGTTAAAGACGAAGTGTTGAAGACAAAAGAGCTCTAGGATTGGCTACGAGATCAAACGAAGACGAATAAAGCTTGAAACGACGATCAGGATGTCGTCCTGTCATTCGTTCAAGCATATCTTTTTGTAGAAACATCCAAAGTACAACTTTCAAGTTTCATATGAAAGCTAGCTAACTTCAAGGGATACAAATCATATGAAGACACCATGACGAGAGTCTGAGAAGAGAAAGGTGAAAACAGATGATGAAGCCAGATAATCGATGTTGAGATATCAGGATGCGACCTTCCACAATTTTATTCATATCTTATGATTGGATGATTTAAATCCAGTTTCGCAAGTTGTGTTGGATAGAAGACGTCATTAACTACAACCTTGATGAAGGAAGCATAGTCAAATTCGGAAGGGAAAGGCGCACGTCATTCGCCCGAAATATGCACGTCGTGCGCGGAATAAAAAAATCACGGAGGAACTACCGGAGGCCACGCATGACGTGCGTGGCCATTTATGCGCGTGTTTTTTTTGCTCCGGGCGCACTAGGACACGCACGCCGTGCGTGCGCTCCGGTGTCCTTTTTCGGCTAGAATTGCTCCATGTTTTCTATTTAGAGAGAGACCTAAGGACAAAATTTTACGTATTTTTCTGCTTTGTTCATCAAGACTCTGGGATTATTTGTAAGTTCCATCTTATTTAATTAATGACAATTAATTCTTTTCATCCCAATTCTATCGATTCTATGGTCAATTTCATGATGGATTAATTGCATGATCTTTATTGAATTTGTGTTTGAATGATTTAATTGATATCTCTTGTAACATAGAACTGCAGCTAGGGTTATAATTGTACATAGAATAAATTAAGAGAGATCTAATCTATTCTAGGACAACTTCACAAACACTTAACGTTCGCTAAGAGATTAGTGGCGATTAAGGGGCCGTACGCTTGCTCGTTTTGACAATAATTTAGAATTATGTTGCATGAGAGATCAGTTTGGTCCTCTAAATTATTGTACTCTACGCCGCGAGAGCGGTTAGAACTTAGTATGGATTAGCGTTGCTCAATTAAATAATTTTCATGTGGTTAAGCCTAATCAGCCAGAAATCTGGTTACCCCGTAATCAACCCATGTTCCCTTGGTCGTTAATTACAAAGAACCAAATTTGGTTACCCTAGAAATCTGCATTTTAATTTTCCTAACAATCAAATCTCGCACATTGCATTTATTTTATTTCTTTTTAATCGCTGAATTTAGTTAATACTCACATCAACCAGCAAACCGTCTTTTTCCTTGCAAACATACAATTCTCACCAGCAAACCGTCTTTTTCCTTGCAAACATACAATTCTTCCATGGGATCAGCTTGATGTGACGATTTGTCTCTTTCTTTCTTCCTCTTTCCATGTCCCCCCTTCTTTCTTTCCCTATATATCAATGACTACATGGGCAAGATGAGGTTTGGGAATTGATAAGAATTTGTATACTATGAGAGAATGGACTAGGGCTACATGTTCAGAATGCACAACTGCTTTTGATGGCTTGCATCTGATCATTATCGCCAAATACAGAAGAAGAAAATTCATCTGATATTACAAAATGATTAAAGCTAACAATAACGAGACCGAGTTTATGCGTATTACAAGAAAATGTTATATTAAATATTAGTAACTTTGTACGCGTTGGTGATGGTGTCTCGTTAAAAACTTTGTGTATAAAAATCACAAAACATTAGTCTCTTTATATGCCGCGTCGCTTTAGGGATTTATGATGTTGTCAAGGAGGAAAAACGATGAAAGAGAAACTCTCGCATCTCTCTAAACTTCCATCTACCTAAATTCGGTAATGGATTACCGGCACCAATATTCACATCGCCTGAATCCCTACTTTCACCCCTTCGACTATCGAAATGAGCACTTGGAACAAAGTCGTCCGCTTGAGCGATTTAACCAATTTCGTCCGCGTTTCTTCACTGGCTCACGTAACAGGAGCCATCAGAATCATAAAGCAGCAGATGAGCTAGAAATAGAGGCACTCATCAATCACCTCTACTATCTTTACTCAAATCGGAACACACAGCTAGAATGCCCGCGTCGGGATCCAAATCACGAACTGGAGCTCACCAGTCGATTCCAAGCAGGGCCCAACAACTACAACATGGACATTCCGGCGGACTCCTGGTGCTCTGCCCGCCACAAACGTGGACGCCGACGCTCCACTCACAAGCTCAATCAGTAAGTCACGACCAATAACCGGTGGTCAACGGGTACGTCCAATCGTTTTTTCCTATTAGATCAGGAAGACGATTTATCCACTCTTCCCCTACAATCACAAAGCTTTAAACCAGAAAGACACTCCTCCCATGGTTTCTTGAAAAAAGGGTCACGCGGAATCCCTAATGGTGCAACACATAAGTCCGGCCATACAAGCCGCAAAGGGAGCCACGCTATCAAAAAATCATTGGCTTTAGAGGACAGAAGATTAAAGAAGCAAAACTCGGGATCTACATCGCCAACCAATTTGGCTGTTACGGATGCTTTTGTGACGGGGATTAATCCGCAGGGGGGCATTGGAAAGGACAAAGCCTTACTTGTTTTGCCGGTTGTGCCGGTGGGCCTTTCTGCGCAAGTTCAAGGTCGAACGGAGAATCGTTCTGGCATACGACCATCCCCTACAGCTCACGACAGACCAGGCGGCAGGCCGGAGAGAGCAGAGATTCCATCTGTGGCATCGCAGGGCACCGTGACCAACAAACGTGCAGACTGCCTGGGAATGGACCCCCATACGACTGGCGATGTACGAAAACTCACATGGGCGGAAATAGTAAGGTGTGAAGTGGACAAATGTGGAGACAAGTCCAGCACATCTACTGGAAGTCTCAATCAATCCTCAAATAATCAGGAAAATCAGATTATTACCAAGGAAAGTGCCGCTCACAAAGACGAGGCTGCCCATCTTCATGCCACGTCAGATGAACTTTCCCAGGAATTTGAAAAATTCCAATTTTTTGGAGAGGAGGGCTTTGATTCCATCAAAATTGAATCTAAACTCTACAGATTTGCTGCCACAGAAAATGAAATTGAAATTTTTGAGATACAAAAATCCTCGCTTAGAAGGATTAATTTCAAGTCAGGTCTTGCTCCACAGATCTACAGTTTTATACAACAGCTCACAGGCTCAAATAATTTTATTCACAAGCAAAGCAGAAAATTCGGGTCTATCACGGTCTCTTCAGAGGTCAACAAATCAGGCTCTTATCTCAAGATTGCTAAGGAGAAGGGGACTTACATTCTAATCCCTAAGGGCCCACGCAATTTAAATCTCAATGATTTTTTGACATTATTTTCTAATTTTGTTGAATTATCTTATTTAGAGCAGGACGAAACCACACATTGGGAACATGAATCTACGACTTACTCCGAGGAAATCACTATTTCCAAACTAATTTTCAACTATGAAGTTCAGAGAGCCTATAGCGAGAATCAACAACCCCTCCTCTCTTTTGAAAAACAACCACAAATTCCACTCCTCCAGGCTTATTCTGATGCCTCAGACAACTTCGATCACTCTGATGATTCTTTCTTTTCAGACGATTTTCTGGGACATGCAACAGAAAGCGACCGTCGCCCCCCTTTATCAAACCAGGAAGAAATTAGAAATTCCAAATTCAACAGAACGATTTGCCGTAAATTAAAGTTGGTCACGTATGAAAATTGCTTGCCAACAGAAAATCTCAACACGCAACTCAAACTCTACAGGAAATCTCAAAAGAATAAAAGGCGCCACAGCATGAGGACCAGATCACAGTCCAGAGACTTCCCTTGGGTCTACTTTAATCTTTACTTTACTTTTCTTTTATGTATTTTGTTTTCCTTTTTTATCTTCTTGCACTGTAATTTTTGTTTTATGAATAAAATTGTTTTCGTTAAAAAAAAAATGCCGCGTCGCTTTAGGATATTGACATATTTTTGAACAATTATTTTGGGATATACTCCCTCCGTCCCGAAAACAACTTCCCACTTTCCTTAAATGGATGTCCCAAAATTAACTTCACACTTCAATACTTTCCTTATTTGGCAAATTATCTACATCAAAAAAGTGATAAACAGTGCCAAACAGTGTTTAAACAGTGCCACAAAGTGTTTAAACAGTGCAAAACAGTGCATTCTAAAGTAAAGTCAAATTTATTTCCTAAAAGTGTGTGAAAGTCCAACCGGGAAGTTGTTTTCAGGATGGAGGGAGTACATGATTTTATAAGAAAGGTTTGTTACTTTTTCTGAATAGTTGCCTGATACGCATGTAATTTCCGTGTGTATGTTTACGTTTTTAGTTAGTTTTGGTTGTTTAATATTTCAGAAATTACACACTTTTGGTGTAATAGTTATGTTTGTAATTTAGTTGTAATTCATTTAGATTAGGATCATTCTGAGCTTAAACAGGTCCAAGATCAGTCAAATGATCATTGGTGAAGGAAGGTGCAAGAGTTCAAGACAAAAAGGAGGCAAAATCCTGATTTTTGACCTGTACCCGGTCGAGTATACCATATACTCGATCGGGTACCAACTGTACTTTCAATCAGATCAATCAGGAGACAAAAGGGTGTGCAGGGGAAGATTTGGCCACGATCAATTGTAATACCCGATCGGGTACACCTATATACCCGATCGGGTATACCTTTTATTTTCACTCCGAATTCGATCGAGTAAGCCTCAAAACTACACTTTTTACACATATCCGATCGGGTATCTATATATACTCGATCGGGTACCCGAACTGCACTCCCAAAAAGCCTATAAATACACCCCCTTCCCTTCACAATGAGGGACCAATTCCTTTACACTCTTAAGCTCAATTTAGAATAGCATTTCTTTATACTTCTTCTAGCATGTTTAGTCTCCAAATGAGGAGCTAAACTTCCATTTCTTAATGTTGCTCTTGAAGCTTGTTGATTATTAAAGTTGTGAGTTATTTTCTTAACTTCTTTCCTTGAATATTAATTCTTCCTTAAATACTATTTCTATATCAATGTTGGGGAGTGTTACTAAGATGACAATTAGTTAACATCTTGACATTGGTCTTAGCAATAGCTATTCCTTCCTCTATATTAATATTGGGGAGTGTTACTAAGATGACAATTAGTTAACATCTTGATATTAACTATAGTAGGATTCATTTTCTTTAATATTCTTCCTCGAGTATTAATTAATTCCTATTCATATTTCATATTAATATTTTGAACATTACTTAAAGGATCAACTAGTTTTGTTTCATATATTAATTATTACTAGAAACGATCAACGAACCGATGGTTAATCGTTGATAGTTTCACAAGTAAGTAACTTCGGTTTGTTAATGGACGGTCGTGGTTAATAAACTTAAGAGGGATTAATTTTGTTGGTTAAACCGAAACCGTTGTGTTGAGGTTATCAATCTCAATTGATTTCATCAAGGAGTTAAGAGATTAAGTGCTACTATCAAGTCGGTATATGGCGTTGTTCGATACTTGACTAATAGTAAGGGTTATTAATGAACGGTCATTGTTAATAACTAACCTCGATGAATTGGATATAATCCTCGATTGAGTATTCGAGGGGAGATAAGTTATAGATATAACAATGATCGACTAAAATATATCAACAAGTGGAAAGTAGCAATGCCAAGTCCTTTTTATCTTTGAATCAAATCACATATAACTCGTTCATCTTCGTGTTTTATTTTAATTAAATCACTCAATCAAAACCCCCTTTTATTTATTAGTTCATAAAAAGAGAGTTATTCTTTTCCCTGTGGATACGAACTCTACTTCACCTATACTACGTATAAGTGTTAGTATTGAAAATTATTTTGAGTGCACACATGACAAAGTGCACGTCAAATTTGGCGCCGTTGCCGGGGAAAGGCAATTAATTTTTCTTTTTATTTTATTTTAAGAAAAAGAAAAAAAATATATGGTTCAAGTATAAAGATTTCTATTTCTTCTGAGCTTTGTAGTATATGGTTAAATATCGTTCACTAAACGAAATCACCTACCACTCAAACCCCGAAATAGAACAAGCTCTCGAGCGGTTGAAAAACAAATTCTCAAACCCCGACTCAGAAGAATCATCAAGTGTTAGTTCTCAATCTAGCGAGACCGAAGAGCCAATATCTATGGCTAACGAAACGAGAACGTTGAGGGAGCTCACAGCTCTGAATCTTAATCAACAACCCCTATGTATCACTTTCCCAACTCTTGATACGGGGGTCACATTCGAGCTAAAATCTGGGCTCATTCATCTACTTCCATCTTTCCATGGACTACGAGGGGAAGATCCGAACAAACACTTATTAGAGTTCCATATTTGTGTGCACAAGCATGTGCCGCAACGGTGTCTCGAAAGAGCAAATCAAACTAAGAGCTTTTCCATTTTCTCTGAAAGACACCGCGAAGAATTGGCTTTTCTATCTTCCTTCGGGAAGTATCACTACAGGCCACAAATGAAGAAGGCTTTCCTTGAAAGGTACTACCCCGCTTCTATTTCATCATCACTCAAGAAGCAAATAAGCAACATTGAACAAAAAGATGATGAATCTCTATATGAATATTGGGAGAGATTCAAGAAGCTATGTGCTAGTTGCCCCTATCACGGATACACCGAACAAGACCTCATTCTCTACTTTTATGATGGTCTTGTGGATCAAGATCGCCGCATGGTAAATGTGGAGGGGGCATTGTCAACAAAACCCATTCGCAAGCAAGAGGTCTCATCTCGGAATTGGCCGAGAACTCTAGACACTATAACGGGCGGTCCTCAACTCGTAGAGTTATGGCAGCAGAATCCAACAACTCGTTGGAAAGTCAAGTGACCGGCTTGACAAGTCAAGTGACCAGCTTGACTTCTTTGGTAAAAGATTTTCTCTTAAATACAAAAACCCAAGAAGTCAAGGTCTGTGGCATATGCTCAACACAAGGGCATCCAACCGATTCTTGCCCAACATTACACGAGGAGAATCCCGAGCAAGTCAATGCTTTGGGGTTCCAAGGTCAAAGGAGGTACGACCCTCATGGCAACACATACAATCCGGGATGGAGAGATCATCCAAACTTGAGGTATGGAAACCCTCCGCAATCCAACCCATCTTCTCAATCTAGTATGTCTACGGAGGACATGATTCGAACTCTTGCTACGAGCATGGGCACCTTGCAACAAAACGTGTTGCAATTTCAACAAGAAACAAAGTCAAGCATTCAAAATTTGGAAACTCAAGTTAGCCGAATTTCGAATGCTGTGAATCGACTTGAAGCAAAAGATTCGGGTAGGCTCCCTTCCCAAACGGAGCAAAACCCAAGACAACAAGTCAATGCCATCATGTTAAGGAGTGGCCCAGAATTGCAAGCAAGGGAAGTTGAAGAAGAAAAGGTTGACAAAGATGAGGTTGACCACAAGGAGGAGGGGCCAACAAAGACAAAAATCCCTCCGCTGTCATCATATGAGCCACTCCCTCCATTCCCTGAGGCATTGAAGGACACAAGGAAGCTAGAGATTGATCAAGACATCTATGAGACCTTCGCAAATTGTGAGGTAAATATCCCACTCTTTAAACTAATCAAAAGTGTCCCCCGTTATGCAAAGTTTTTAAAAGAACTATGTACAAAGAAAAGAAAAGATAAATTGAAGGCAAAACAAGAGGTCAAGGTTAGTGAACGTGTCTCAGCAATTTTTCAAAGGAAACTCCCGGAAAAATGCAATGATCCAGGCATGTTCACTATCCCATGTAAAATAGGGGACACTTTATTTCCTAAAGCCTTGTTGGATTTAGGGGCTTCGATCAATGTTATTCCATATTCATTATACAAGTCCCTAAACCTAGGCCCTATGCATGATACTGGGGTAGTAATCCAATTGGCGGATAGATCTAGCACATGCCCAAAAGGTGTCGTAGAGGACGTGCTAGTAAAGGTTGAAAATTTGGTCTTCCCTGTTGATTTCTATATTCTCGAAATGGAAACCGATAACCAAGCTACATGTGACACTCCATAAATTTAATAAAAAGAATTTAATATTAATTAAAATGTGACACCACACAATTATAGTTGCGGATATTTTTCTTAGCTTATGCTTCGGGACGAAGCATCTTTTAAGGAGGGTAGAATGTGACACCCCAAAAAATTGCAATAAAGTAAATAAATTTTATTAGTGAGATAAAATGTTACGAAAGTCACATTTTAATAATTAAGTGAATCGGATAAAATTTTAACATCGGTGACAACTTTAATCGGATAAAAATGTTTCAATAATAAAAGTGACATTTTTTATAATAATTATGTTGATAAAAATAGGATCTTGACTTAAATAACAAAAGTAACATTTTTGTAACAAGTGATAATTATACATAGAGCATACATAATATATCTCTACAATCTTATAAGAGTGAATATTGTTTTGGGTATAATGGTCATAAAAAATGTGTTGGTGTCTCTTGCTGCATAAAATCATTGTACATCACACATGATTTTTTGTACTTCTAAACGTATTGTAGCTTATGTTTAACAGGGAAGTAGCTTTCCGGTATATGTTCCCCATTCCGTTAACTTAGTCTTCCTTTGGCTTATTTCCGTCATTCATCTCCTCCTCTTCCTTCAAGCACCTCGATATTTTTTACACTCCAGAGTGATGGCGGTGAGCAGACATAGGTTTGGAATCTCAATGGCTCTGGCACGAGAGTTGCATCCAAGGTAAATAGTAATCGTCTCCCTCTTTTCCTTCACGAATTTACTATTCAAGTGATTACGGTTGACGAAGCCCTCCGTAGTGGAACCGTATGAGTGTGTCCCAGGTGTTGCTATTATACATTTGTTGCAATGGAGTGTCGAGGTTGCTGTGAGAACAAGAGGGTACTGAATAGCC